AGCTTCTTTCCCTCTGGTTTTGTGTAGGATCAGATTTACAGGCAGGTAGAACAAAGAAAGTGGCTGTAAGCTGTTGTGCAGTGGGCATATTTTAGAAATTCATGTCTCCTTTCTAAAAATGATCTTGAGCCATTTGGAGCTTGTACATCTGACACAGGGCCTGAAGTTGCATGCCTAAATAACAGTTATCATTTCTGAAGCATCATGTTAGGTTTCTGTGTTTTAAGTTGTCTGGCCACAATATCCAGTTTGCAGCATTCAGTCATCTCATTCCAGTCTAGAGCTTTTCCTGATTTAGGACATCAACAGTAAATCTCACAGAAACACACAGATATTGGTCACAAATCACATTAACCAGGATGGGATTTTTTTTCCTTAGGAGTCTCAGGATTGGCTTCTCTGAATATTGTTTCCTTTTCCTCCAAGTTAGGAGGAAAATAGTGTAATAAATAATTTCTACAACATAGTGAGAAGAATTTGGGAGATGACTGTACAAAAGAGGCTGTAATATAATACCTTATTAACTAACTCTGTCTTCTCTTTCCTCTCTCTTGTAGCTGGTTCTGCTTCAGGCTGCTCTCCTGCTTTCTCTGTCCTGTTCTAGGCTTAGTGGGGGATGTCCCAGCAGCTCTAACCCTCAGGCCCTGGTACCTCTCTAGGTGTGTATGGCTCAGTTTTCTCTGCATGCCTTCTGGTGGTGCATGGGGGCAACAGTCACATCGTGCTGCTCATCTCCTGTGGCACTGCAGGCTGGAAATGTCGTGGCATGTGTTACACTTCAGTTCCACACGTCCTCTCAAGCCCCATCTGTGCTTTTCCTTCCCTGTGGAAGCCCAGAGCTGCTGTTCCCATGCACACTCACAGCCCTTCCTGCTTGCCCTGCAGCTGCACGACCTGTACCAGCTTCTTGCTGCTCCTGTAGTGCCCCAGCTGCCAGCAGGGCCAGGGAGCCTTGGGCTGGGCTGGAGCAGCAGTGGGACAGCCCTGCTCAGCACTCACACTGTTGGACCCAAAAAATCTCCTGTGTGCCCTGAGAGCCACCTCCCCTCCTGCTGGGAGAAGCCTCTGTGGTGTTCTGGAGCTGCCCTGGACACTTCTCTCTCCAAACTCAGCTCACTCAAGTGCCTGAGTGCTTTAGGAAGGCAGAATCCTTTGAAAAGTGCAGGGGGGCTGAGGTTCTCCAGGGCTGTTAGGGTTTAGGTACTCAGATCTCACAGAACTTGACCCCTCTTCATCTGAAGGGCTCTTGACAAGCTCTTGACTATATTAGCAAAATCAGCATGCAGAGCTGACTCACTGTTTTGGGGGAGTACCAAGTGGCCACAGGCATGGCAGTGTTTCCAAGAGCCCCAGCCCTGGGTGTGAACTGGGGGACTCCTGTTTGGGCCCTTTGCACTGGGGGGATTTCCATCCTCACTGGGCACTCGAGCTGGCCTGGCTTAGGAGGGGCCTTTCAGTCCAGCACTTTGTCACAGGAAGGGGCAGAGAAAGCAGCTCCTCTTGCTCTGCTCCAGCTCCAATGCAACACTAATGTATTTGGAGTCACGTAGGCAGGAGAGATTTGCTGCTGTCAGCGTAGCCTTTGACACTCTGAAGGCAACTCTTTGCTGTGTTTAGAAATGCAGCCTAAGGAATAATTTTTACCTGGCTGCTGTAGGTGTAATATTTTCTTTTACTGATACCCTTTTCAATGCACTTTAATTTATTTACAAGTGGTAGCAAATTGCAAGTGGCAGCCCCAGTAACTGGCTCATGAGTCAGTACTTTTATTTTTCTCCTCTGGTCTAGACTGCTGATAATGTAAATTGTTGAAACCCTGGGTAAATAATTAGGAGTGCAATCAACAGCAAGCAGGTATTTATCTGCTAATAAAACATTTGAAATGCAGAAGTCTTTCTTTGTCCAACAGTTCTTAAAAGGCAGTTATTGGTCCTGCTGCTGTTTCTGCATAGCAATTAGGATTTTTATGGTCACTAATTGTACATCTGAAAATTTATACAGTTTATTTTCTGCCTGTGTCTTTCTTCACACAGAGAAGAGAAGCACAGTATTTATGGTTGTAAGGAGGTTAACACTATATTTTCTGCGTGGAGATCTCTCTAGAGGTTTGTACCATTTATAGAACCCAAATTTTCTACGTTCTCTTGTGTGGCATCAAGGTCTTATATCTCATTAGGGATTTTCTGAATGAATCTTTGTCACATTCTCAGAATGTGACTTGAAAGTTGATATATCAGCTCAGTAATCAACTGTGATTTTTATTATTAAAGCTGTAACTACTTCAGAAGAGGGGCTTCTAGATTTTTCATGCACTCCTGATAATGCTTTTCCTTAGAACAGATACTTGCATTACATATTCTAAAGGGACCCTGCTTGTTTTAAATTTAGCTGCCGTAGGTTACATCCTGTCATCCCCACTGGATGCACTTTTTGAAATCAGTCCATAGAAATATCCAGCCTCTGGGACCCACAGAAGGTGACTTCTGTGTTGTTTCTCACATGGTTGCATGTGAGAAAAGGCAGTTTTAGCTGCAGACAGTGAATTCCTTGGCAGATGGGCCCCTGCAGGGCGTGACTGAGGAAACCTGAGTTCCTTCTGTGCAGCACCTCTGAGGAACCTGTCTCCAGTCATCATCCCTGACCCATCCAGACCCTTTTCTTGGGCCTGGAGCATCCCCTTGGCTGAGGTGCCCTTGGATCTGTAGCAGTGTGTTCCTGTGCTCCTGCATGAGGGCAGTGGGAATTAGTAACCCAGGAGGTGTTTTCTAGAATATATAGTTAGAAATGCCCCCCATGTATGTTTTTCCCAGAATAGGATTAGTGCCTGGGTCTGGGAAGTCCCAGTGCTTTCCCACCCCAAGGAGTCAGTGAGCACGTCTGCACCCCTGGAGGACAGACAGCCAGCCAGAGCTGCCTCCATCTGTGCACAGGCAGGGAAGCACAAAAGCAGAAATGTGCAAGTTGGCTGCACAGGAGCCAGCTGAGGCCCAGAGGGTCTGGCTGTGTTCATGTGCAGCTGTGCCAGGGCTGAGCACACTGAGAGGGAGCAGGTGAGTCTGGGACTTCCCAGGAATCGTGCTGTCCTTTGAGATGGCTGTGATTCTGCTTTGCAGGAAACAGGGTGGTCTCTGAAGGCTTTACAGACTTTAATAATCTAGTGGAAGGTCTCAGAAGTTCACAGCTTGGTGGGTATTTGACTAATTTGTGACATCTGGAGAACCCTTTGGTGGTTTTTGGTTTTCTTTCAGAATCTAAACAGAACTTAAATCAATACATAAATGAGAAAAGTCACTTCTGCCTCCTGGTCTGCAAAAGTGAAAGGCTCAAGTCATGGTTATGTGTAAACAGGATGAGATCAATACATGGTAATCCTGACACTGTTCCCAGTGTGATTTCGTAGTAACCCCCACCCTTCAGCAGCACTGTCAGAGTTAACAGTGAACACAGCTCCTGGCAGGTGATTTCCCATGAAATCAAGGTGTATGTCATTGGCTTGGGGTCTGTTACTTCTGCCCCAGTATCTTTGGGGCCCGTTGGATGATTTCAACCATATATGACAAAAGAAAGGAGACCTCGGGCCTACTAAGGAGTTTCCAACAAGCTGTGAAAATATGCAGCTTAATAGCTACTAATATTCCTGCTTTGGGAACACACCAGTACATGACCATGTTATCACTCACTACCAAAGAATCTGCACAGGAGAAGGATCTGATAAATGGAAAATGCATCAGTCAGGAGCATGTGCATCATCTGAGGGCACTGAACGATGGATTGCAGAGCATTAGGAAACCAGGGTTTGGAACTATCTGTGCTCATGGAAATCCTTGTTGATAGATGGAAAACAAAGAGTCTTTGGCAGCACATCAAGGGACAATTTCTCAGGATTTAATTCTCAGCACAGAGTATGAACAGTTCTTGAATTACAGGAGCTCGAGGCAGTTCTGCCTCTGCTTCTCTCAGAGGTGTTTCAAGTAGTCCAGTGGTAAACTGGTTACTTTTTTAGTGAAAAGGTTCTGGTGAAACCATCATTTATGCTTATGTTGTGTTGCTGATTTCAAACTCTTGGGAAAACATTTTAAATGATGTTCATGTCCCAGATCTATGGATCAATGGGGAGTTTTACTTCATGCACCATACAGCTGGAGATAGGGTTTTAAATGGGATACTTCATAACCCTGCTAGAGAAGACATAAGGCAGAAGATACATCCCATATAGCTGGTTCCCGAGTTCTTTTTTCTGCATTGAGAGACAAGCAGCCCTGTGTGTTTTCCATGGAAGATGTTTGATTTTGGCTTTTTCATTTGCATTATTAGCGAGCAGCTGCATGAAGGGCCGTTTCATTGGCTGAAATCATCAAGCACATTTCAACTGTAATTGCACACTCTGCATTTAAAAATGTTTTCCATATTACAGTGTGCTGCTTTAATTTAAAAATGAAAACTATTTTCAGCTACTGTCTGTTAAGTTTGGACTGGGGGTGGGAAAAATGGATGCAACTGTTTTCTTGCACCATGACGTTTCTGTCCTTAAAAATGTTAATCTTCTCACTTATGCTGTTAAAGACAGAAATTCCAGGTGTCTGTAGTGAGAACGTTCCTCATTCCCTCCAAAGCTGTATCTTTTTTTATATATTTAAGTACATTATTATTTGCACAGTGAAATTAGCTTTGCAAGAGGGATGAAAACCCTCGTCAGAGCAATTCTAGCAAAAAGATCAAAGGAATGAAATATAAATTCTCTCCAAGGTGAGCATATGTTTTTTCTTTCTTTTTTTGAACAGGGAAGTCTTAGATTAATTTAAAGCCAAGTTAATGGATGGAAAGATGGATGCTTTTCACAGAGCACTGCAGTTTGGTTCTTAGAGCGAGCCGTATTTCAGTGGGGTGACTAACATGTGCATTTTTATCTTTAACCTCTGACCTGTGCCCTCCCCACCCTTTGCCTTGACCCCTTCCCGCTTGCCCCGGTCAGTTCCCCGGCAGGACGCTTGCCAGCGGCCATGGATGACTATGATCTCAGGTCAGCTGCCAGCATTCTGGCCTCAGTGAAGGAGCAGGAGGCCCGCTTCGAGCGGCTCACCCGGGCGCTGGAGGAGGAGCGGCGCACCGTGTCCCTGCAGCTGGAGCGCGCCAGCCAGCCCGACAGGCTGAGCATCTGCAACATTGGCAACGGGCAGCCCCTGGCCACCGCCTGGCAGCAGCTCGTCCTGCAGGTAACAGCCTGCTCCCTTCACCTGGCCCCGGAGCTCACCTGGAGCACAGGCCCCGGCCCACACAGCCAGGGGCACCGGGGGGTGGGCAGCGTCTCATCCCTTGTCTCCCGATAGCCCAGAGCTGCGGCGCTCCATCCAGTCCTTTGGTAGCTCAGGCTTCAGAGCCTTGGCTCAGAAGTTGTTTTTATTTTCTCTTTGCTCATGGGATCCTTTAAAAACTATGTGCATAATTGAGTGTAAACCCCAAACAGAGATCTTCACGCCCTTCTCTGAATCTGTGCACTTGCTGTAAGTGTGGTGATGTGCTGGTGACTGGAAAAGAAGGCTGAATCATAATCTCCATAGCAAACAAAATTTCCATCAGAAATAGCTGGACTTTGAATAGAGGGAGCAGCATGAAAAGCAGGAATTTCCCTCCTGCAAAGCCTTATTGTTTGTGGAGGGAGGACTTCATAATTTGTTTCTCATGTGTAGTGAATTGATAGACTTTATTTTAATGATGCAAACTGGCTTTGTGGGTAGCTTTAGATTTCCAAATATTGTCTTGCTTGATACAGGTTCTTTAACTGTTTAAATGTGCAATGATAAACTACTTAATGTCTCTGAATTACTTCAGCTGGCAAATCCCTCTGACACACAAGGTAAGTCATGCAGAAGCAATAGTGCCATTTGTGAAGGTCTGTTTCCTAAGAAAACATTGTTCAACTCAGAAACTCTGGGCTGTGGGGATTCTCCAAGTTGTTTCCCAGTCATACCAGACTGTTTTACTATTATCCTTGTGTTGAGCTGTGTTCAGGCAGACTCCACGTTCTGTTCTGTTCTGTTAGCACTGTTTGTCTGTGCACAGCTACCACGGTGCTGTGCGTGTAGATGCCAGAATTTGGGACTTCATGTGAAAGGAGCAGCCTGCACTGGTTAAGCCAAAAGTCTGACCGTGGCTGGTAGGAGCTGTAGGTTGTTATCCTCTGATGAGCAGCTGGGCTGGGAGAGGGGAGTTGTGCTTACCTGTTTTTTACAGGAAAAGGACAAGTTCACCTTCACTTTTTCTGAACGGCTTTGTGCAAAGTGCCTGATTAATAGGTTCAGAATGAAATTCCTGATCCACAAAACTGATGAAGCATGAGTTTTCTGCAGTGTAATGGCTTAAGGTCCAGCCACTTCCAAGAAAACTTAATAAAAGAGTTTTAAGTTACTGGAGTCTACGTGACTCTTATGGAGAAACAGCCCTGTAAATGACCCCAGACTGGATCTGTGTACACTCAGCTCATTGCCACTGGGTGAGGGGAGCTTTAGTTCCTAAATAATTAGCATTGAGGTTTTTAGAGTAGCTTGTATATGAAATAAAATGGTTGAATAGCTAAATATGCACAGTTAAGAATTAATGTCATGTTATTTGTATGAATTCTCATTAAATATACTGAGGGCCAAATTCCTCCCTGACTTACTAGAATTAATTATCTAGTGTTTAAATGAAAGATGAAAGCTGTACATTCAGTCTTAGAATATATAATGATTTTATCTTTAGTATTATATATTGCATTTCACTGAGAAGAGTACACACAGCAAAGGCATCTGAGCTCTGCTGTCTGTGAGGATGGCTCAGGCACAGGAGTGAAATACAGTTCTCTGGAGCTGTGTTTCAGTGAGGACTGGCTGAGTTCTGTGCATCATCCTGTTCAACCATTTGTTGTAATGAATATTACAAAACAAGTAGTAGCTTTTCCATTTGGAAGTTGTCTCTGGCTTTGACAGTGGGAGCCACCTGACTGGCCGTGGCTGTTGGTTTTTGGAAGTGCAGGTTGTACTAAAGAGAGAAGAGCAGTGTGTTCGTGTATGTTTGTGTTTGCCTCTCTAGTTTTTGAGGTAACTGATGCAGATGGGTTGTTGCAGTGTCCTGAGCCCTGGAGCCTTGGCAGGGGCTGCCTTTTGCTCAGCTCAGGGTGCAGGCACAGCACAGGGAGTCTGAGTGGTTGCTGAGCAGCACCTCTCCCTGTCTTCTACATGTTCAGGTATCTCACTGATACTGTTTTTTACAGGCTTGATAAATCTTACCCCTCCTCCTGTGGGAGGTGTTTGGTTTCATCTCCCTGGCTGTATTTCCCTTCTGTTCAGCCCAGCCCTGTGCTGCTCTTGGCCACGGGAGCCAAGGTGGGCAGGGACAGTGGGACTGTGCCCTCGTGGGGTGTGTGCTGGGCTGGGTGACTGCCCAGAGCTGCAGGGTTCCCCTGCACGGCTCACCAGCCACAGCACAACTCTTTAATAATAAAGAATATTCTTTTTTTATGTATGCTTTTATTAAAACATTAGACATGTGAAACCTATTAACCACGAGGCCATATCCTGCCTTGGTTTCCATTGGCATGGCTCCATGGGTTCAGAGGAGCTCTGCCAGTCTGATCAGCTGGGGAGCTGAACAAGGTTTGCATTCAAAGATTGTTTCCCGTTGGTGCACGGTGACAACTTCCATTCCTGTTAGTGTTCCATAGCCAAAATAAAGTACAGCATTCAACAAACTGATTTTGCCCACAAATGCACTGTAACAATACTTTGACTCCAGTGATTTTGCAGTGCCCTGTAGGGATTCGAGGGGGGTTCCTGTCAAAAAAAGATAAGTATTATCCCCCTCCTTACAGTAGGAAAGCTGGGGGAGTTGCCACATCTGTATTTATGGGATAAATAACACAAATCAGTCCCTTGCATGCTGGTCCAGGGTTTTACTGATCAGATAGATTGACTCTTGTGTGCCTGTTGATGGGTTGATCTGAGAAGTCTTCACCCTAACAAAATCATCCAGTAATTAAAAATTTATTACATTTGACTGTTACTTCCAGTTTCTTAGGTTCCCAATAGTGGATTTGTTGGGGTGTTTTTATGTTGGTTTTTTTTTAGATATATCATCTGCCACATTTGGCTGAGGAGACACCAGAGTAGCTTAAACTCAAATCAAAGACTGTGTATGTGTACATTTTTTTTTCTTAGAATGATACTTTTGTTGAAGACCTAGTGGCATTAAATTGGTAGTCTTGTTGGAAGTTTTATATAATTCTGAACTTTATGGAATACTTTTACCCCCTCCCAACAAAGAATATCCTAAAATACCATCTTGAAATGTCAAAAATCAACCGAGTTAATAAAATTAATTTTTTTCATTTTGCACATGTGACTATAGCTCTTCAAAAACAGCTTGTGGAAAAAAAGCTACAGAATATTTTCATATTTCATACTATTTGGATCATTTATATTTCAACTTATGTTCCAGAGAAATAACACCTGTTCGAAAACCAACAAACACATTTTTCCTTATTTTTTTTCCCCTGTTTTTTTAGGCAGGTGTTTTATAGCCATAATTAAGCACCAATATTCTTCAGTCTTTATGTTAATCTGAGGTACCTCTGCCAAAAATGACATTTAGTGAAATGAGGGTCAGCTTCAAGTAAAAGGTGAACTCTAAAACACACCAGAACACATGGTGAGAATTAAAAAAAAATACAAGATTAGCTCAAATTGCTTTTCTGAGAAAATACCATCGAGTTAACCTTTCTGAGTTAGTGTGGGCAACAATAACACTTCTGTCTGTATTGCATTACTTCTATTTAAGATTCTCTGCTCCACAGTGATGTAGGACAGACTGATAGAATATAGAGGCTGTTTCCAGTGCTTTGATAGCTAAGAACATGGTTACATTAATATTGTATATAATGGGTGCATTAATATTGTATATATGGTTGAACATATACAGAGAGGAAGGAAAAATGGGTTCTGAGCTGCACTGAATCTTCACCTTCCCTTTCTTTTCCTCTCCATCTCCTACAGGAAGCAGTTCCATCTTTGTGTCCAAAGTTTTATGTAATTAGTTCTAATCTGTGGTGCCTCTTGGCTTCCTGTGTTGTGTAACATATTTGTGCTGATATTAAGGGACTGACAGCATGGAAAATTACTTTTTGGGTTTTTTTGCCTTGCAGGTAAGGTCAGGTTCAGACAGCAGTGCTGTTGGTTCCTGACAGCTCCCTGGTGTTCCCGTACTGTTCCTGCTGCAGTGCCAAGGACTCAGAAAAGGCCTCTTTGGTAGTTAACCCCTGGGTGTTTGTGTCTGCCTCTACTGAGTGGATAGCAAAATGTTGAAAGAATTGTAGGGATAGTCCTAATTCTTTACCAAACCAGCTGAAACTGTGGAGATGCACATTGTGCTTGAGGGGAACAGCATGATTTGGTGTCAGTCTCTGTTCTTCAGCTGCTGCTGCTGCCCCTGCTCAGCTCCCCTCACTCTGTACCTTGGCTCCTGTGTTCTCTGCCCTGCAGGTCCCTGGGAATTATTCCCATGGGAGTCACACATGCCCTGCCCTCAGCCTGATCCTGCACATTCAGGACCTGTGAGTGGTCTGAGTTTCTAGGAGCCACCTGGGTCAGGTTTCAGCTTCTGCATTTGTGCAACTATTCAGAGGTTCCGGGGGGAGGAATGGGGGAGATTTGGGAATATGATTCCCATGGGAGAATGAGTTATTAGATCAGAATTCAGTGTGAGCTGTGAGACCCTTGCAGTCCTCAGGAATCCCAGCAGTCAGGACCTGGCCCAGGAGCCATCACTCAGCTGCTCTTCAGGGAGATGTGTTCCCTGTGCCTGAGGGGTGAGCCCGTCCCTGGTTTCTGCTGTGTTGGACATGACAAGAACTGCATTTAGCCTGGAGCTTTTGCTGCCTTTTTGATGGACATTGTCCCACCTCTGTGAAAGACCAGCTCCTGGTTTACTGTGAGTCAGGCCCTGTTGGTGACAGCTCAGCAGTGGTGGGAACTGGATGCAAGGAGTTGGTGTTTCTCAGGCCCAAAGTGCTGCAGGTGCCTTCAGGAGCTCTCCTGGGATTACTGCAGGTGTCAAATAGAGACTTGACAAGGTGACAGCATGGCATGTTGCATCACTGGGAGCTCAAGGAGCTCCTGCTGTTTGCCTTTCTGCTGGGATGACCCAAATTCCAAAAGAAATTCTAGAACCTGCTTCCTGTATT